CATATATGTACATATATGTACATATATGTACAGTTCATGTTCTGTCTTTTAACCTCTGAAACTCACAGAGAGAGGAGAGATTAATGGAGTCACTTTATTAGTTGAACACACAACCTGTAGCAAGTACTGTTTATTGATGAGGACAAAAAAGTACAAATGTGTGGTAACACTGCGATCTCTTTTCAAACAACAGTTGATAATTAGTCATACAGAACCACTATGAAATAAAAACCAAGTATTATGGTCAAATAAAAGGAAAAATGATACTCAGTGTACAACAATCACTATCACATCTACTCATCTAGTAAATGATGGAGCTACAGCTACATTTATGTTGGCGGCTTCCAGGTCAGACATTATTATGAAGCTAATGATTTTCACAGTTTACCATGGTAACCACTACATGAAAAGCACTACTTTAGATGAGAAGAGCCAGATTTTGCTCCATTAGACTTTGAAGCAAATAAAAAATAATGCTGAATCTCATACAGCTGTTATTGTTTAGATGAATAAATATAATCCCACAATACAGAGTTAACAACAACAAAGACTCCAGCTTTCCCAGCAAGTCGTGATGAGCAGTTTCCATGTTTGGAGTTTTAACAACTGATTTGTATACAACACAAAGTTTGGCTCTGACATGTGAGTGGGTGGGGGTCTAGAGTAGGAGTTTATGGAGCACTACAGGCAGTGCTCTGTTCTTCTTTCTCCAGGTCTTTGAGGGTTTTTACAAGGTGAGAAGGGTAAAGGTTTCAGCTGACCCTGAAAGACACAACATGATGTATGACCAGTCTGTTTGCTCAAGTCTTCACGGAAAAGAAATTACTTTTTTCTTCAGTGGCTCATTGTTGAATTCAGAATTTCATCTAAAATCTCCTCACAAACATGACATTTCCCACTCGTGGGACTAATAAAGGTATCTTATCAAACAAAACTCTGATTGATCTATCAACCTCTAAAGCAGAGACAGCCTCTCTGCTTTTAACAGTTAAAGGATGTCTTCTGGGTAGGCCAAGGCTAAAATATGATGAATATATGAATATAAATATGCTACAGAGCAAATAAAATAAAAGTTATTTTTGAAATTCTGCAGTTTGTAAAGTGTTCTTGTAAACCTGCTGCACTTCACCATGGCAACAAATGTGTGAATTACTTTGTCAGTCTTTGCTTCAGCTTCTGTTTTTGTTTCAGTTTATTACATGTTGCAGGATAAATGCTGACACCAAGCTGATTAAATATTTAAACACTGATTGCACTGATTGCGTTTGTTCTGTTAACCACCAGACTTCATCTCCCACCACCTCACATCATCATCTTCTCATTAGAGTTGTTGTCTATGTAATCACTTCCTCAGAGGATGCTAACTTTCTGTTTTGTTTTGTACAGGTGCTGCGATGTGCAGACAATTCTACGTGATGGTTTTTTATTTTCATATTTACAAAAGTCTAACATTGAAGGGTTTTTATCTAACAAAGCATCTAACTGACAAGGTGCACCTAATAACATGTCCAGTGTAACTACTTACACAGCCTGCTATGATTGAGGTACTTTGTTATGTGGCTGCTGTAGCTTTCACAGGACTGCCGAGCTTATATAATCCTGTATAAAGGTGGATTCAGAGAACACGTGACACACAGTATAATCACCTGCCTTGGAAGGATATGCAGTGTGTATATATATCAATTTAAAAGTGTAAAATGTGTAGTGATAAAAGTACTCATGGAGGAAATGTAAATGTATTAACTTCACTTCTCACCTTAAAATAATCCCTCGCCCCATAATAACAAAGTAAAAGAGGTTTGCTTGAAACTTTAAACAATTACACCCTAAAGTCTGAGCTCGATGCTACAAACTCGGATCAGCTATTTTCTTTTTTGCAGATTCTTTTCACTTTCAT